ATGACTCAATAGGAAGGTGTTTCATTCTCTGAAGCCAGCATCCCTTTTTATTTGGACTATGTTTGAAATCTTTCCAGGGCATACTTTAAAAAACTGACTGTACTCTGTCTCGCTCTAAGATATATTAGCACCATTATTAGATTTCTGGATGTACTTCAGAGATTGTATTGGTGAACATGGCTCTGCTTAGAAATTAAGCCATCTTTAGTCTAGTCAACATGTCAGTAAATATTTCTATATCCTGTTCTCTGAGTTTCAAAAGTAGACAGAATCCAGAAGGCTGGATTACTTTTCTTTTCATGTGGTTTCCTTCTTCATAATTGCCTCAAATACATCTGAAAGGACAAAACATTCTTGATCTATGTGGTACAGGAGCTTCAAACACACATACTTGTGAGAGATCCTTTCGTCGGTGTTCTTTAGCTTCCTATTTGTCCAGCTATGAGTGACTGCTGCAGCACCACAAGCTGATGAGTTTTGCCAGTCCCCTGCACACCGGCTCACATGGGGACTTCACAGTGAAGCTGAATAAGGTCTTCCATGTAACTGAGCTTTCACAAGAGAGGCTGGGCGCAGCCAGCTGTGCCTTTAGGATGATGGTGACATTACTGACAATGTACTAATTTGTTGTATCCATTGCATTCTTCTTTCATCCTCTGCTATCCATCTGATGAAGGATAAGCTAATCTATTTCAACCAGTTTTAGTTGGACACCACTGCTATCTAGTCTTGGACACTGTGTATCAAAATATTTCTTGGCAGTTTGCAGTTTGCTCCTCTACTACTCTGCTATTCCATCCCTTTTCTGAAATCTTCTATCTGTAGACTGCTCCAACAGTAGAAAGGCAGGGGATAGGCAGCAACACAGTCAGTTTCCCTGCACAGTATTTTGTAGGAGAGGGTTTGTGTACCAGAGGATGGCAAACCACTCTGAATGCCTTTGGTTGTAAGCAGCAGTTAGTGACTGAAAAGTATGGAGACTTTAGGCACAGTGACCCTGTATAGTGATAACAGAGATTAAAGTATCACTCTGAACAGTTAGGATGCCTGCTTACTTATAGTTACAAAATGTTTTCATATCTAAATATTTTATAGGGCTTTTCCACTGCAAAGGCCTTACCTACAGCATTTCCCCATAGTACAGAAAAGCCTCATCAGTGTTTTGGAAATAATGAGAATGGGCATAACACAAAACAGCATCTATGTTTTCTGGCCTAGACATCTTATAGGAACTTCCCCAGTGTACATGATTTGCAACAGTTGGACTCTTTGACTCTACGGATGAGAGACAGCATCCACCAAAATCCTTCCTTGTCAAGTTAGTCAATAAATATGAGATCTTACACTTCAGCTGAAGTCATGTGCAGGTGACTATCACTCCTATAGCCAGACAAACCTTTCAGGCATGTCTGGATCCACGTTAATCCTTCTTCCTTCATATGAGTCATTTGTGATAAGGAGACACAAAATTAAATTTCTATTAGAGAGATGTGTAACTCTTGGAAAGCTGTTCTCAAGAAACAGTTAATTATGCTTCACTGTCAGACAAGATGCATTAAAGCACGCTCTCCAGGGACTATACAAAATTTAATTCATGACTGAAAAGATGAAATCAGCATTTAATGATACTCATGCTACCTGGAAAAATACTACAAGATATTGTGATCTTAAGAAATTATTTTAAGAATTTGGTTCAAAGAATGACATGTAATGACAATAAAGGTGAATCTGTGTTTATACAGAAGCAATCTTTTGCATAAATGCAAGTGAGGGAGGACTGACTCAGCAGCAGTCCTGGAGACAAAAGGTGGATCACAAGTTGCACATGAGACACCAGTATATTTTTATAAAGGATGTTACTGTTGTACTGGGATACATAGAAAGGAGGATTATTTATAAAGCATACAAAGTGGTTCTTTTATTCCTCTTGACACTGGAAAAGATTTTCTGGTTTGGAACACCACAATTGGAGAAGGATTCTGACCAACTGGACTGATTCCAGAGGAGAACAAAAGAGTGATCAGAAAGCTAGGAAATATAACTTGTGAGAAAACATTAAATAAATAGAGGTTGTTTTATCTGAAAAAGAGGAAACTGAGGAAATATGTCTTTCAAATATAGAAGAGAAAAGAGAAGAAAACAAAGCTTTTTCCATGTTCTCTTCAAAATAAGTTCAGGCCAAATATCAACAGAAGTTTTCTTATTATATTTTTGCTCTTAGATAATGAGGTATTGAGGCACATTCCCTGGGGAGATTCTGAAGTACTCATCATGTTCTAGAAGAAGTGAATCAGATGTCTGTGAAGGATAGTTTAAAATTTCTGCTGTAGCCCAACAGAAGATGATCTTTCATAGTGTCTTCAGACCCATTTTCTATTATGTCTATGATAATTTTTTCTCACAAGTTAAATAGTAAGAAATGTATAAAGACATACTCCTCCCTATTGGTTAACCCAAATTCCATGGCCAGGGAGGCTGCTGTCCACTCATTCTGTCCAACTTTGTGATTTCCACATGTGAGCATGTAAAAGAATCCCTTGATCTTGACAGAACAGCTGAAGCAACTGTACTAGCAAAGAAACTTATTTGTCTGTCAATTAAATGTCCCAGGACTTTGCTTTTGTCTCAGTCTGTAAGTGCACTAACAGATGCACTAATAGATGCTAATGGCCATGACCTGTGTCCCTTGGGGCCTCTACTCACACCTGTGGGCACAGGAACACCAGCTCAGCCCTGGGCTCAGTCCATGCCTGGTCTGTGCTGTGGGTACCGACCTTCAGCTCAGCTGCAGCCAAACCTGTGCCCCACTGCAAACACTGACCCAGAGCCTGACTCACAGACTGACTTTGTTGGACCTGTCTCAAGCCTATGGACCTGCCTTGAGATCCGTGGGCTGTGTTTGGTCATGGTTACTCTCACTGAGCCTGGTACTAAAGGGTTCATTTCCATTTTTAGTTCTGGTGAGGTTCTTTCCGTGTCAACTCTTTTGCTCTCTCCCTATATCATATATATGTATGCGTGTGTAAACAAATCAATATTTACATATATCACCAGCTGCACAGGTTCCTTGGGGTAGTTAAGCTGTTGCTCCTGCACATTATCTTCAGGTGTCCACTGACTGAATCAAGAAATTTCCTCATGCCTCAGACCCAGGTGTCCTGAGCTAGTTCTCAGAAGTTTTTTTCCCACTTATGACTTCATGCAGGAAGCCAGATGAGATCCAAATTGGTTTTGGATCCGAATGGTTTCCTTCAAAAATTGTGCTCCTACACACCTGTCATAAGCTTCTCCTGAACATGGCTCTTCATCTTATCTAGACAACTGATATACTTCCATTCTTTCTTGGAGGGAGAAGTTTCTAGAGGCAGGGTATCTTCAGACTTTTTGTTGTTAAGAGGCCTTTAACTTTTTGCCTTCACAGGACTAGGTGCTTGAGATCCAAAGTTGTTTGTGTCAGCAGCTGAGAGGTTGAAAGTCAGGAGTGCCAAGGAGGATAACCACCAGTGAAACCTGTTATGAAAACACCAAAAAGGAGCCTCCCTCCAAGATTAATATACATTCCACCAGAGCTCAGTCTAAATTAGTGGCTTTCTTGAGTGGTATCTCCACTGCTGACATTTGCCCAATTGCTGCCAGGAGTTCCCTCCACTCCTGTACCAAGTGTTTTGCCATTTCAGAAGCATCCAGGTATAATACAGTGTGTGGTAATGCATTTCTGCAGTGCTTAATACATGAAGTATGCCATGTTTCCCTACTAAGCACTGTGAGTGTTAGGAAGAGCTGCAGTACGAATAGAAATGTGGATAATCTATATTAATAATTTATGGGTTGAAGATTAAAAATAATTTATGTATTGGTTAATGAAGCTGTTAAAGGTGTGCTGGTTATGAGCATGCTCCTTTCACACACTCCTTCTCCATGTGTTTGAGTCTCTCTTACAACTCTCAGCCTTGGGTTTCTGTTATGGAAAAGGAAGTTAAACAGTCTCCATGTTATGTATGCAGCAAAGCCAACCGGCCTGATAGAAAGGAAGTGGAATGTAAACTAGGCTGGTGGATACTGCATGGATATGAAACTATGTGGTCTCGAGGTTTTGCAGGACACACAGCGTGCACATCCATGTAAGGTGTATACACTGATGGATAGATAAAGGTGTTTGTGAAATAACTTTCCTCTTGCTGCTGAAGGTTTCACTTCAGAAAGTAGATCTTAATGCAAGATTGTAAGAGTCCATCCTTTTGATCATGCATATGATCATGCCTACTAATAAATAGATTTTTATTTCTTCTAATAAGGACATTACATCTTATTATTGCTTTTAGCAGAAGAACTGAAGTCTCCTTAGACATTGTAATTCCTGGAACAGTGATGAACCATTTCAGCAAAAAGATTCAGCCTGCGTGATGATACTGTCATAAAGCTTGACATCACTGCTCTTGGCTGGGCCACTCCCCTTCTCTTCAAATAATACTGATTTCAGCAGCAGTATCTGAAGAGAAAGAGGGCGCTTTGCAGTATGAGAGTGGGTGTTACAACTTGGCCTCTAATCCTTTACTGTGAAGTTGCTCGGGTGTGGGTGGAGGGAGGAAGAGCATTTCTTTCAGAGAAGGAATATTATTGCTGTATTCTCATATGACATTGGAAATAGTATTTTAGTGAAATATAGGGTACACTGCAGTACACAGCTAAAGATGCTGGAATGAAGTGAAGCTCATTCTCTTTGGATTTCTTCCATCTAATTTTATTTTCCAAAGCTACATCCGTTCTTGGACAAAGAGGATAATCTAGACAGAGCTGAATTAAGTTGTAGTCCCTCACTGCAGGGCTTGCTCTTATGGCTGGCTCTTTTTCAGGGCACTGAAATGAAACAGGAAACTCCTTGTGTCCTACTGTGTTGTCATATGCACATGGACCAATCCTCATTTCCCTTTTTAAAACATTTGTTTCTTTTACTGTGTGAATATTATGTAATTGTATTCCTTTTTGTTTGTTTCTTCCAGAATGTTCTAATTGTGGAGGTAAGCTGGGTGCTTATGTCATATTGTACTTAGATAAAGTCACACAGACAAACCATGATTGGCTGTTCAGTTTCTAAATCCTGTCTGTGTTTACACTTCTCTCGCTGGGAGGTGGTGAAGAGGGAGGAGGGTTGATTTGCTTAATGGCCTCTCAGTCTTTTTGCAATTGCATGACCGATCAAACTACATTGATGTCACTCTAACTGGTGCTCTGCCTCATGATACCCAGGAGTCTTTGTTTCTGCCTCATTTGATTTGTTCTTTCTATGGTTTCATCAACTCCTGTTCTTCAAGTTGTTCTGTTCCTTGGAGGACAGTGAATCAACTGCAGTGATGCTCTGCATTTCTCAGGTGCATGACTTTGAAACAGTGGCTCTGCATACGCTTTACAGCCCCAGAGTCATTCACAGTCTTGTTGGGAGTGTCAGTCATTCCCTCAAGGCCCCCAACTCCTGCATCCAGCTCTCCACCCAGCAGTGTCCCTGGGGGACAGCCCATCACAGAGCTGTTGCTGCTGTAGTCAGCAGTGTTCAGTTGTAGAAGGAAAGAACATGTTACCTCACTGGTGCCACAAATTCTCATATAATTAAGATATCTGTTTCTCTTTGAAAATGTTGAATAAGCAACTGGGACAGCTAGAGAGCACATTAGGATCTGCTTGGCATTTCAGAACCAGTTTGCTTGTGTGGGAAGTAAGCTGGGCAGTGTAATGAACTGTATACTGTTGAAATTTCTTCTCTTAGCAAAGGATAGAAATAAAACCATCAGCCACAGAGATGGCTGGTTACCTGAATAGCTGCTAAGAACTCCAACTTACTCATTCCAGCTGCTTTAACAGAAATTAAAAATGTCCACAGCAAATTTCATATTAAGCAGCTGGAGGGCAATGACAAGGTGTAGCTAATCCACCCCCAAAGTTTAGGATCAACAGCTGTGCTCCACGGTCAGTTTTCTAGCCAGGTACCTATTGATCTCATTGAGATTATACTGGATGTGGCAGCTGTGGAGAAATCACATTTGTACTGTGATTTTTACTGTGTATTTGCTAATACAACAAATAGGGCAGAGTTAGCCCCAACATGGAGACATGGTGACATACTGTGATCTCAAGCATAATATGAAAAGTCTAATAATCCCTGTATCCTTGCAGTGACCAGTAGAGTCAGCTCCAGTCCCAAGTTACATCCCAAGTACTTGCAACACAGCTGTTTTCAAGAGGAAGTGGACAGTCCTTGAACTGATAATTTTATGAATAGAAAGTGCTTGCTTCAAACAGTGTAAACTCAATTATAGCCTTTTTTGGATGTGGTTTACAATGCACTGGAAAAATAAATCATTTCTACAAAATAAGAACATGAAACTTCTTAGTCATTGTCCAGATTTCCTCCTTTCAGCCTTCCTTTGTGTTTTAGTTACTTTATTTTTCTTGTTTTATAAGGATATTGTTGGAACTGGAAGGACCATGAAGGTTCTGCTTAACAATATAGAAAAATACAAGCCAAAAATGATTAAAGTGGCCAGGTGAGTAAAGCTATCACAAAACTTAGTAATTAATTACTCTAGTCCAGCATATTTTCCAGAGTAGATTCCCATTCAGACATCCTGCTTTTATTGATGCTGCAGTATGAAGGAGAGCTGTGCAGAGGAGCTGCCTGGGTCACTAAGGGGAGGGTGAAGGAAAGGAGGGGAAATGCTTTTGTATTGTTCTGCCTTGGCAATGATCCTCCAGCCATTTCAGACTGGCACTGATGGACTCGGGAGGGGAATACACCCAGCTCTTCCCTGCAATCAGGATGTTGTCAGGAAGAGAAACAGAACAAGAACAGCGACTCACATGGCTCAGATTTTTGATAAAGGGAATAGTTTTATGTGTGCTATTCAGTTACATATCTAGATTTAAATGGGGTTTATTTTATTTTTAATTACAGTTTGTTGGTGAAAAGAACATCTCGGCCTGACGGGTACAGACCAGATTGTAAGTGTTCTGAAAATCCAACTAACAGTAGAAGTTACCACTACTCTGTCACTTGCCTTTCATCACATTCTATGGACTGCTAGAAGCATTGTAAAATACCAGTTGTCAGTGGGTCTATGGGATGCAATGGAAGGATTTGTATAATTGTAATTTGGAAAGCCTACCCGACTTAGGTTTTTCTGCAGAATACTAACTTTATTGGGAAATTTTGAAAGGGTTTAATTTTATCAATTAAAGGTGAGTGTTTTATCTTCTGTCTCTGACAAAAAATATCCAAGAGAATATCCTTTTCTTCTTTTTCCTTCCTCATTGCATCTCTCTGGAGGAGCTGCAGGATTCCATCTGAGCATGCAAGGTGTTTATTGTGACTAAGTATTAACAAGTTTTACATTTTTTAATTCAGAAAAGCACTTCTATTTTTTCTAAAGTATTATTGTTCAAAGGGAAAACACTGATATTATAATTAAATCCCACCTCCTAAAAAGCAGAAGATAAATTGGGCTTTTAAAACCTTCTCCTCCTGCTCAGTTTGCACCACACCAGCACCACTTCTGTCTAAATCATTGGTCCTTAGAGTGTGTTACGATGAAGCTGTAAATGGAGCTATACCAAGCAATTGTCATTTCAGACTTATTTAGAATAAATGATGTAATAACAGGTATGTGGCTAAATATGAAAAGAATAGATCCATCTAGAAGAGATCAACCAGTATTTGCTACTGAAGAAGTCTCTGGTCAGCTGAGCTGGGGAGGAGGGTAGAAGGAGAGTAGGCAGGTGAGTACCGGGAGGCAGCATGAAGGGTTTTGATTTGGGATGTGGGAAAGAGGGAAAATTTATGAAGCAAAAGTTACTTAAATGTTGGGCATGGCTGTGAGGTTTTAGCCCTGTTATCTGAACTATGGTCCAAACATTTTGTTGTACAACTTTTTACACAGTGGAGTGGTATTTTTTAACATTTAGAATTTAACCCAGTAAAACTAAGGCATATATTTGACTGGATTCACTAATGTTAAAGATATAAAAGTGGCAATAAAATTACTTTGTGAAGGGTAGCTTTATATTTTTATGTATTAAATTTTGAATGAAACACATTTTATCCTTGTTTATTCATAGTGTGATGAATTCTATAAAACATCAAAGATCTCTTTTGTAAATCACTGACAGTGATATAGCATTTCCTCACTTACCTAAATTCCAAAGTGCACATAACCTTCAGTCTTAAGCAACTGAATAAATTCCTTACCTGAATACCTGTAGAATTTTTTTATGTGGACCTGTTTTTGTGTCCGTAAGGATTGGGTTTTCCTCTAGCTATTTAGAGAACAATTTGGAAAGAGTCTAACTTGTTTTATGTAGTGTTGATATTGCACAGACCTTCACACTCAGAAAGATGCATGTCTGTGCTTGGCTTCAGGTGTGTGAGTTTATAACTGAGGTACACTGCATGCATTTACTTTGTTAAGCATGTGCTTGAATCTTCATGAAATTGGGGCTTTAATTTAAAAGCATTTGACTTGTTTTGGTAGCATAAAATATGAGATAGATTTTGCTGTTCTTAGCAGAAAATATATAGATCTCTGAAAGTTACTTCTGATTTAATATTCCACATTTTTCCATAATTACTATGATATAGGACAGTAATCTTCACACATGTATACCAATGGAACTTACAAATGCAAGCAGAATGTTCCAGCTCTGATTTTGGCTTCCTTCCAAAATGTACCAGTGATAATTTTATACAAAATTATCCTCTCCTCTCCTCTGACTGTTCATATCCTTTTCACAAGTACTCTATGACAGGGAGCTGGTTATGGGGCTACTGCTGGCCATGATGTCTCAGTCAAAACTAACATAGCCCCAAATGACAACATATAAGTAGAGTTTGCTTGTTGAGAACCACACATGAATTTAAGGGCTTATAATTGCCACTGATCTTATATTGATGGTGTTTGTTATTTGTCTCAATACAGATTACGGATTTGAAATTCCAGATCTATTTGTGGTAGGTTATGCCTTAGACTACAATGAGCACTTCAGAGATTTAAACGTAAGTTTCTTGTAAAAAAATGGTTTTAAAACTCATTGATCTACTTTTTCTATATTTATTCTCATAAATATCCCACAATTTTTCTCCTCCTTGGGGCCCTGTGGAGGTGTGTCTTTGACGTGGTTGGGATTTGGGATTCTTTCAGTGAGTGCAAAACTCTCTGTAAAACCACAAATAATCCAAAGGAGTTCTTGCTCAGCACTGTGAACAGTTCCCTCCCTCTAAGAGCTCCCTATATTTCCATCTTCTGTGAATCTAGGGCTTCTCAGGTCCACCATTGCCAGTATGTGCAGAGACAGCAGCAAAAGTGAAACACAGGCACAGGTCAAGACAGGTTGTCTTAACGCTATGTTGCCTGTCCCTTTTCTCAGAGAAGTGAGGATGGAAAAATGGTGCAAACCTTTCCTTTGCTTCTTGTGGCACTCTTAGGGGAGCATCTCAAAGCTGGGCATTCCAAGTGGGAAAACTTGCTGTAGCTAGAAAGTGAAATCAGAATTCACTTCCAGATGTCTGGAAAGGAAAGAGTAATCACAAGATCACTAGGTTAGCCAAGCCTAAGTATTTGTGAACAATTCATTAATAATTAATAATGTACTCAACCATACTTTTGCAATCTGTTCTGTTTTTTTCAGCACATATGTGTTATCAATGATCATGGCAAAACAAAATACAGAGTCTGAAGCAGTAACATCCACACCTGAATATTTCTGTGAAGCAGAAATTTGACTAGACTCCCTCAAGCATCTCCCAGAAAAGCAATTTAACTGGCTTGTATGTCTTTCAACCCAGTATAATAAGGGCTTTACTCTAGAGATGCTGATGAATATTTACAGAAGTGAGAGGTCTTATCTAAAATGTGAAGCATAGGACTTTTACAGTTACTACCTTTATTAAGTATTGAAATTAAAACCTAAGATGCCTTTTGATTAATAACTTGTCTGCCTCAGATCACATTGTGAACACACTTATTCTTTGCTCAATTCTTCATTCCACCTATTGCAATTCATGTACTTCACTGTGTTGCACAAGATAGTTCAAAAGTGCCATTCTGTGCATGAGGATTATTTTACAAGATTTTACTGACTTCATCATGTGAAATTGAAAGCATTTTTTTGACTTAATTCCACAATTCAAAAGTTTCAGTGGAAGTTTTGTGTTGTTTTGCAGTTCATTACCCACTCTTCAAAACAAAATTTTGGCTCTCAGAATATGCTGAATTAGAGTGCAGGTCAAAATGAACCTTTGCAAGACACTGTTGGTCCAAAATTGGAAGATATCATGATTCTGGTATGTCATGTACCCATAGATCTGACCTGTTTAGTGTGCTGAATTTTAATCAAGACAAACCAATGCCAGGTAGGTTTGAATTTCTGCATGGTATCCCTTTCTTCTCTAGGACACAAACAAGTATAAACATTAACTGTGTTCTCCTGAGCTTATATTCTTAACTAAACCCCATTAAGCACAAAAGTTTAATGTTAGTCAGACAATTATTCAGTTCTGATTTGATTTTTGTAACATGTCTAAGTAGAGACTTTTTGTAACCATCTGTCATCTTCAAGAATAAAGGTCTGACAATGCTGAAGAAGTCTTGTATAGAAAAAAAAAAAGAAAAAATATATAGGGCAACACAGAAAACCAGTTAATGCATGAGTGTTGTAGACTCTAGACTCCTTCCTTTACAGATCATGTTTGAAGAAGTTTGTGAATTTTATGTACTGTATTAACTGTGAAAAGTTTAATTCTGTATTAAATATAAGTGTTCTTAACAACTTCCCAAGGGAAACCAATGCAAAGTAAGTAGCTGTGTATCAGTAGCTTTGCTCTGAACTGTGAGAGGCAGTTTGTTACTAGCTGCAGATTCCTATAAACTAATAAAGAAACATTAGGAATATTTATTACATTGCACAATTGTTTGTTTTCCTGCTTCGGCATATTTTGCACATCCCATAAAAGCTTTTAAAAAATATGCATTTTCCTGGTAAAATAAACATACTATAGGTATGTATTCTGTAGCTGATAAGCTATTGTTATTTGGATAAAGTCCATGCATAATATTAAGGGAATGAAAAAGATCAAAGGACTGTGATGATTGCTAGAGAAACGCCTTAGCTCATCTCTACTCCTTTAACTTGTATTTTAAAAGAGTTCTGTTGAAAAGCTTTCCTTCAGAGTGAATTTCTTGTATTTTAGAGAATAATGCATACCCTTACAGAGCCTGGAAGAAGCTGCTGAAGAATTTAATCCCTTTTTGTTTAATGAGAGTGGTAACGTTTTTCTTAACACTTCTGACTGCTATGGATTTAGCAGTAATGACACATTGCATAGAATGATATGATTAGATTTAGGCTTAGTCCAAGATATCCATTAGGTTATTTTTTTTTTTGCTTTCTTCTTAAAAAATTACAGTCCAATTCACCTTGCTACAATTATCAGCGTTCAGCAACAACAATAAAAATTTAGTGAGTGAGTTAGTGTAAAATTACTGTGAAAATATGAAGAACTGTAGATACAAATAATTCAGACAGTGTTAAAATTGTTTAACTGGAAGACTCAGATTATTAAAATCTACATGCTTAAAAGAAAAGACCAGATTTCTAGATATTATGAGAACTGGAATGTTTCTTCAAATTCATTTTCCTCCTGTTATTATATTTTTAACATTGTGAAAAAGGACCCTACATATTTCATTAGTGAATTTGCATGTGGAATTATTCTGTGAATAAAGGGGGGTGTTCTCTTCTAATGTCATATTGAATTTTATACCTGTATGTATCTGAGCATCTCCAGGTATCTCAGCTGCCATGCACATTACTCTTTGCTTGAAGGACTTCCACCTGAAAAATCAGCTTTCAATTACTTTAACAATTAGACTCTGAAAATCATTAGTGTAACTAAGGGAACAGGCAATCATGCATCTATGACTGATTAATACTGTGCTTATTGGGTACTCTTTGGAGTGCTCAGAGAATTTATTGTCTTGTGTTTTGGTAATATTGTTGATTCTACTCCTTTAACTAAAAGGCCACTAAATATTTTTTCAGTTGTGGTTGCATGCTATGACCCACAAAGCTGTGTTTGGGTTTTTTAATAAGTTCAGTAACATCTGTTACATAAGAGGAGAAGATGTTCTCTAAAATCCATTATTTTCCTTGGACATTGTGTTTATGGGCAGGCTTCCATTTTTATCTCAATTTTTCTTCTTGTGCACTTAACACCAGTATCTTTTCCCCACCTGTTGAATACAAATTAGCATGGACAGTAATTTTGTTTAAAGTGACAGAAATACTTATCAGCCATCAGGTTTTCAACTTTATTGATTTATGTCTGATTCCAAAATATCTATAAGTGATTTTATGGAGAGAAGGTCAAACTAGGAAGAATAATTCCTGCACCTTGGTTAACTTAATATAAATTAGGATTTCATGTTGCAAACCATAGCTATGGTCTGAATATCTAGTAATTTCTGCATAAAAAAATAGAATTTAAATAGTCTAAAAGGTCTGTAATTAAGATATTTTTTCAATTGAATCAGCTGCTGTACTCTTCTAGTTCGAGCTGAACAAAGTAGGAAACTGTCTGATTGATTGATTGACTGCTATTAGTGTTATATTTCTTGACCATGTTATATTAATCCTTGAAGTGTTATTAATAAATTTGTATAATGTAAACATTTCCAACATTTCCCCCCAAAATAAAGTACTAATTGTATGTGATATTCAGCTGCAGAACAGTTTCTGATCAGTGAAAGTGTGAAATCATCACAGTTTATACACTGTGTTTATGCACAGTTTTATATATTAAAATGCTTAACTTTGAGATGTACTCAGGTCATGAGTCATCACTATTGATGACCTATATATATTGATATATATATATAGATGATCTATCTATGATTCTTATATCTATAAGAATCTGTAAGAATAAGATTTATTTATATACATATATTTGCAATTCTAAATTTTAATATTTCTTTATACTGAAGAAGGCTGAATCTGCTTCTCTGCATATCTTGCATTTTGATTTGCTCAGATAAGAGAGCAGTGAAAACTCCTATTGTAATTAAACTTGTTATACATGCAAACTGCAATTGATTCTACCACAAAAACTTTAATTTTCAGTTTCAGTTAAAAATCAGAGTCTCAAAAGAAAAACATTACAGGGTTGTATAGCAAAAGACAGAAGGATTCATTGCCCTTTTGTAAAACTATCATATTGGAGGATGCTTTTTCTTTTACCTTTTAAATATTTTCCAAAACTTCTCATAATCTAAATGGAAAGATCTGCGATGAATGCAGTATCTCAGTGTACTGGGAAAGCTATCCTAAATTCTTCTCCTTACATTGGAGGGAGAAATGTAGATACATAAGTTAATGTAGGTGTGTGTTACCTCAGCTCAGTCTTCCAAAAGTTAGCTGTGACTGTACCCTCCACATGACTAAGGTGGCTGAGTCATGTGGAGGGTACAGCCTCCTCCTGTGCTTGTCTCAGTGTCCCCATTTGAAACCTTGCAGGTGAGAGAAGCAGGGTGCTTTAGCCATCCTTTCAAAACACTGCAATACAGAGGAGGGAAAATAAAAGCTTATATCCTAATTTCATGCACCTTTCACAGTTACTTTTTTAATGCCACATGCCTTCCTCTGGGAAGGCAGCCTTGTACAGCTATCCCAGTACCTGGCTGAAATGTTTGTACCACAGGGAATGACTGCTGTGCTTGCCAGGGATATTCAAAGCAGTGACAGCACCACAGCAACACTTGGACAGCTAGAAAAGTTTGGTCACAAGCCATAAACTATACTATGGGATTATTTTGTAGTGTTAAAAGGATAATTATTTGTGAAGAAACAGCAATATTATGCACTTATAAATGATCAGAAGGGAAAGACACCCCAAATAAGGAAGGCAATACCGACAGACTGAGGAAAGGTTGTCCTTTATTTTGCAGAAAACACACATAATTTTTTAGAAGGGAAAAAAGGAGACATTAGTTCTGGGTGAGGCTCCATAAGCCCTTTGAAGGCTGTCATCTGTAGTTTGGATGCTTGTGCTGTTACGCAGAGCTGGCTGACCCTGCCTTCCTTTCTGTCAATAAACCAGTGCTTGGTTTCTTTGTACCTTCACACGGACACATGCGTATCCGCAGCTGAACCTTTCACTGCTGCCAGCAGTTGTTTTGGAACACCAAGGGGTTTCCAAATGCAGAAATTTAGACTCAATTAGTTAAATACTTGCTGTCAAGCCTTGTTCCTTCTGCTGCTGCACAGAGCAATGAGCTACTGACAAACTATTGGAGTCTGCAGTACAGCGATTTATGTCTAATACTAAATTTTGGATACTGTTCAGAGGATGACCTTTAGTTTGTTTCAGGAGTGGCATGAAAGTTTCCCTCTGTTTTTCCATAGCAGAAAGAGACAGAAATTACTTGTAGTACTGTAGTTCTAGAAGTCTGTCTTCAACCTGCATGACTGGGCCTCTGATAATGGTAAGAAAGGGTTGTTTCCAACCATGACACAAAATTTCATTAAATAAACTCATTACTGCATGTGTTCAAAAATACATTGTTCCTACTGTTAGCAGAGCTTTGTACATTTATCAGTGCTGTTAAGTCATGAGGTTACACAAGGGACTTGTTGCTGGAAGACATATGTTACGCCTTCATGGCTATTGAATTTGCATAGAAAAACATTGGAATTTAGTTAAGATGTTTTGGAAGCAATGCCAAAAAACAGTTATCTTGAAGTGCCTTTTCTCAGCAATCTTCCATTTTCCTAAATTTCTAGAAGTATTAATCTATTTTCTTCAGATTTCTTATCTGCAGTTACACATTGGTTTTATGCTCTATTCTATCGCAATGTCTTTTAAGCAAGTCCTTGACAGCCCTGTGTTTTTTAAGGACATTCACAAATGCTTGCTATTTACCAGGAAACTTCAGCCCTTTTTCTGAAACACTGAAGAGCAGATTTTCAAAGGTGCTTATGCATCCAAGAAAATTGCATGGGATTTCACCTGCTTGGATAGGTGCCTCGCTGCATCCTCCAGTGACCATGTACCTTTGAAAATATGTTTCTTGCCTAATTTGGATAGACTGGGAAAATAAGCAGTAACATAACTTGGAATGAAAGCAGGAGGATATCACAACAAAAAGAGGCAAGCACAATCATGTCATTCTTTTACATAGGCATGAATATCTCTTTGTCGTTCTGAATCGTGCAAGTGTTTAATTGATTTATTTGTTTGGGTTTTCATGAGAATTATTGTAGTAGTGTTTCTGCTCTGTCTTAGGAAATTTGGAATGCAGTGAGAGTGCTCAAAATTTAGCTTTTGGAAATAATAACTCGGCATAAAAATTAGCACAGAAAGACAGAAAACAGACCAGCTACGGAAGAATATTCAGCAACAGTGGCAGAAGAGTCAAGGAGGGTAAAAAATGAAGCGTCATTTAAAAAACCCC